AAGCTACTATCCCTGTTTACCAACCAATTCCTATTTACCAAGCTACTATCCCTGTTTACCAAGCTACTATCCCTGTTTACCAAGCTACTATTCCTGTTTACCAAGCTACTATCCCTGTTTACCAAGCTACTATTCCTGTTTACCAAGCTACTATCCCTGTTTACCAAGCTACTATTCTTGTTTACCAAGCTACTATTCCTGTTTACCAAGCTACTATTCCTGTTTACCAAGCTACTATCCCTGTTTACCAAGCTACTATTCCTGTTTACCAAGCTACTATCCCTGTTTACCAAGCTACTATTCCTGTTTACCAAGCTACTATCCGTTTACCAAGCTACTATTCCTGTTTACCAAGCTACTATCCCTGTTTACCAAGCTACTATTCCTGTTTACCAATGAAAAGCAGGGGTGTCACTAGCACGTTAAGAGACCATACAATAAGTGTCAGGGGCCCGAGACTGTTCAACTGCCTCCCAGCATACATAAGGGGGATTACCAACAGACCCCTGGCAGTCTTCAAGCTGGCACTGGACAATCACCTAAAGTCAGTTCCTGATCAGCCGGGCTGTGGCTCGTACGTTGGTTTGCGTGCAGCCAGCAGCAACAGCCTGGTTGATCAGGGGCTGATCCACCAGGAGGCCTGGTCACAGACCGGGCCGCGGAGGCATTGACCCCCGAAACTCTCTCCAGGTAAACTCCAGGTCTCCAGGTACTATCCCTGTTTACCAAGTTACTATTCCTGTTTACCAAGCTACTATCCGTTTACCAAGCTACTATTCCTGTTTACCAAGCTACTATTCCTGTTTACCAAGCTACTATCCCTGTTTACCAAGCTACTATCCTTGTTTACCAAGCTACTATCCCTGTTTACCAAGCTACTAAATTTCCCGTTACCAAGCTACTATCCCTGTTTACCAAGCTACTATCCCTGTTTAACAAGCTATATTCCTGTTTACCCCCGCTACTATCCCTGTTTTACCAAGCTACTATCCCTGTTTACCAAGCTACTATCCTTGTTTACCAAGCTATTATTCCTTTTTACCAAGCTACTATCCCTGTTTACCAAGCTACTATTCCTGTTTACCAAGCTACTATCCCTGTTTACCAAGCTACTATCCCTGTTTACCAAGCTACTATCCCTGTTTACCAAGCTACTATTCCTGTTTACCAAGCTACTATCCCTGTTTACCAAGCTACTATCCCTGTTTACCAAGCTACTATCCCTGTTTACCAAGCTACTATCCCTGTTTACCAAGCTACTATTCCTGTTTACCAAGCTACTATTCCTGTTTACCAAGCTACTATTCCTGTTTACCAAGCTACTATCCCTGTTTACCAAGCTACTATTCCTGTTTACCAAGCTACTATCCCTGTTTACCAAGCTACTATCCCTGTTTACCAAGCTACTATTCCTGTTTACCAAGATACTATCCCTGTTTACCAAGCTACTATTCCTGTTTACCAAGCTACTATCCCTGTTTACCAAGCTACTATCCCTGTTTACCAAGGCTACTATTCCTGTTTCCCAAAGCTACTATCCCTGTTTACCAAGCTACTATCCCTGTTTACCAAGCTACTATCGATGTTTACCAAGCTACTATCCCTGTTTACCAAGCTACTATCCCTGTTTACCAAGCTACTATCCCTGTTTACCAAGCTACTATCCCTGTTTACCAAGCTACTATCCCTGTGGGTTTAAGTAAATTTCAGCATAATTAAATCTAAATATATACCAGACACCCTACATTATCTTAATTTATTATGTATTAATAAGAGTAATAATCATTTCATAGCACTGTGACAGCCTAAGTCATTCAGCTGTCGCAGTTATAAAACAATAATATGCAACAAGTGCAACAAAAACAATGATAAAATTAACAAAGAATCAAGCAACGAACATAAACACTCAACATAAATATTATCACACTGTTATAATAGCCAGCATCAGTTAAAAATCCCATGAAATTATTAATGACAAAAGACTCTCCTAAAACGTCCCAGAGGTCCCTACAGGCACCTCGGTAATTATAAAAACCTGTGAAAACAGAAAAAAAATTAAGTCGAGGGCGAACTTTAATCTGTAAACCCAACTTTTTGTTTTTTAGATGAAGTTATACCCAATATTTTAAGTTCATAATCTTACGAAGTTCATTATCTTGTTTATGAGAAGTTTCAACTTACTGAAGATAAAGATAGTTGCAGTAAAACAGGTCTTTACTGGGACAATTTTATACTCTGAGGAGGTTACTAACAGGCTCTTCTTAAGACCGAAATGTCGCCAAATTAAAGCATTTGTACGAAACGTGGCCCAATATAGTTAGTTGTCAGTAGAGTAAAACTTATCCAGTAATACCTTAATCCCTAAAATGGGGATTAAAGTAATCTCTTAGTATATATAAACACAGATCTGCAGTTCCACTTCCTCAGAGCAAGATCTCTGGTGTCAAGGAACTTTTCTTAAGAAGCAACATGTCTAAGTGTTGCTGAATGCACTGAAATGTGTGTTTCAGAATATATATATATATATATATATATATATATATATATATATATATATATATATATATATATATATATATATATATATATATATATATATATAATATATAAAAAAACTTATTCCCCGTATGGCAGAGAATAAGTTACAAGACCTTCCGCGTATTCCGAAAACCGTGGATAGCAGCTACCCCTATGTATAAGTCGTTTATAACGTTTACGTACATACCTATGATGTTAAGTTTTGGAGGGGTGTAGAGATGGAGGATGGAAGCAACGAGGTGGTGTGATGGTGATCGTGATGGTGACCATGTGGGTGAGCCAGTGTGGGTGAGCCAGTGTGGGTGAGCCAGTGTGGGTGAGCCAGTGTGGGTGGCCCAGTGTGGATGATGAGTGACTGGGCAGGAGAGTGTGCAGTTGGTGTGCGCAGTAATTAGGGTGGCTGGTGGTTACATGACAAGGAGTGTAGATGGTATGTTAGGGTGTGTGGGCCGTGAGAACTACTACTGCTACTACTACAGCCCCACGCTCACACATGGGTAATGTGTGAGCGTGGGGCTGTGGGAGTAGTAGTGACATACTACCATAATACAAAAAGCCGCTTGTTATGCAGAGCATTTCGGGTAAATTAGGTCAATTTTGTCCCAGGATGCGACCCACACCATTCGACTAACACCCAGGTACCTATTTTATTGATGAGTGAACAGGGACAACAAGTATAAAAAACACGCTTAATGTTTCATCCTTGCCGGGAATCGAACCACAGACCCTCAGTGTATGAAGCGAGAGCTTTGCCTACCAGGCCAAGGGCCTGATAGTGTGGGTGAAGGCATTTGGCTGTGAGAGAGTTGTGGGTGGAAGTTGTTGGTTGGAATGGTGTTTGTGAAGGTGTGTGGCCCTTGGGGAATTATAGGGGTGAGAGGTATGGGTGGGAGAGGCAAGAATGAGTTGGAGGCATGGTATGGGGTTGTGGGGATGAGGAGTTGTTGCTGGATATACAACAAGGGTAGAAGACGGGGGAGGGGGTGTCACTGGATGCGTATCAGACATGCATGAACTGTCAAGCACTAAAATTTTGGGGGCCCAGTCCCTGGACCCATTACGTACCTCTGTAATCTGTAAATACCTTTGTAACTTGTCATGATTGTGACCAGACCTTTGTAAATTGTGAGTTCATTACCTTTGTAAATTGTGAGTTCATTACCTTTGTAATTGTGAGTTCATTACCTCTGTAACTTGCTCAGCTATCAAAACTTTGGAGTCCAGTCCCTGGACCAATTATGTACCTCTGTAATCTTTCGACTACCGCCCACAGGATGGGCATGGGGTGCATAATAAACATATTAAACTAAAACTAACTAATGCGCCTCAGTTCTCACTTGTGGGAGAAGCTCCTCCAACTTCGTAACATACCAAATGGTGATTATATATTAACAATTGCTAATAATTAACAATTATTAAGTTATTACTAATAATCATTACTTGTTATACTATTATGATTACGTATATTTCTATTATTTTCTTTAGGAACAACGGACAAAGATGAGATTTACACCAATGTACTCACCTAATTGTGGTTGCAGGGGTCGATACTCAGCTCCTGGCCCTGCATCTTCACTGAGTGCTACTAGGTCCTCTCTCTCCCTGCTCCATGAGCTTTATCATACCTCATCTTAAAGCTATGTATGGTTCCTGCCTCCACTACCTCACTTGCTAGGCTATTCCACTTCCTGACTACTCTATGACTGAAGAAATACTTCCTAACATCCCTTGACTCATCTGGGTCTTTTACTTCCAACTGTGGCCCCTTGTTTGTGTGTCCCATCTCTGGAACATCCTGTCTCTTTCCACGTCTATTGCACGCAGTATTTTGTATGTCGCTATCATATGTGTGTGTGTGTGTGTGTGTGTGTGTGTACTACTATTTTAGGGTTTATAGTTATTGAGATGTTTACAAGGCACGTGTACCAATAGAAATCTTTACTGAAGTAACGCTTTCCCAAACCTTCAGATTTAATCATTCGAACACAGAGATAAATTACACTCTTAAAGCCTGCAGCGAAGGCGAAACGTTTAGCAATAAAGATATGCAGTGTTGCGTGTCACTCATTAACTTGTCGTGTTACCCATTAACTTGTGTCACTCATTAACTTGGCATTGCAGACTCTTAATACTACTATGAAAATATTTTTTTTCCAATGAACCAGCCATATCCCACCGAGGCTGGGTGACCTAAAAAGAAAAATGAAAGTTTCTCTTTTAAATTTAGTAATGGATAAAGGAGAAGGGGCTCCCGGCATTTTAGTCGCCTCTTACAACACTCATGGCTTATGGAGGAAGAATTTTGTTCCACTTCCCCATGGAGAATAACATTTGTGCTTAGAAAATTTGTAATGTAAACCAGCATCGTGAGCACCCAAGATGGCGGCAACTATAACAAAATATTTTGTACACTTACCACTGACCATTGTTATGACACCTAGATGATTAATGTGGTGTTTCAGACGGGCAACACGACTGCTGGCAGTATTGGTGACAGTGCTGAGTGCTGCTTCCTGCACTTCAGGGCAGCAACTGTCGCGCCTCGCAGCGCTGGGCGCTGGTACTGAAGCAGCTCTGAAGGACCTGGTGAGGGTGTTGCAGCCTGACAACATCCCTCGCTTCGTCGGTTGCATCCTCAAAGATCCTGCAGAGAAGAACTGTGATGACAGAGCTGTGGGAATACGAGGTGAGTCAGATACAAGTATTAAAATATATTGTGAAAATCATAGTACAGCGGGTGTAACAACTTACAGCCAACAAACTGGGTTTAATATGGAGATATTTCGGTCAATCCTGGACCAATACCAAGTAGTGTCTTAATAATGGTGGCGGATGGACCAAAATGTTTTAGTTTTCATCTCAAATTTGTGGGTGAGTTGCAAATTCACAATGTTTTGCTGTACAAGAATAGAAAAAATGTTTAATAAGTTGCCATTACCTCCAAGCTGATAACACTTTCCGATTAATAATTATTCCTTTATATGTTTCCACATTCTTTTATTTGATAACAACTAGTATGGGCCAACAGACCTACTGCAGTGTTCCTCCTTTATGTTCTTATTTTGTAAACGACCTCTTATTCAATACTTCATGAAGTACACTTGCTTGCTAATGTAAATATCTAATCAGCCAATCACGTGACAGCACGTGACTCCCGAAAAACATGCAGACATGGTCAAGAGGTTCAATTGTTGTTCAGACTGAACATCAGAATAAGGAAGAAATGTCATCTAAGTGAATTTGATCGTGAAATGATTGTTGGTGCCAGATGAGGTGGTTCGAGTATTTCAAACTGCTGATCTGAGATTTTCTCACACACCATTCTCAAGAGTTTACAGAGAATGATGTGAGAGGTCAGAGAAGGCCAAACTGGTTCAAGCTGACAGGAAGATGACAGTAACTCAAATAACCACGTGTTATAACAGTGGTATGAATAAGAGCGTAACTGAATGTACAACACGTCAATCCTTGAAGTGGATGGACCATGGCAACAGAAGACCACACCAGGTCCCACTGCTATCAGATAAAAACAGGAAATTAAGGCTCAGTGAGCACAGGCTCACCAAAACTGGACAGTTGAAGATTGGAAAGAAAATGTTACCTGGTCTGATGAACTGCAATTTCTGTTGCTACATGCAGATGATAGGGTCAGAATTTGGCATGAACTTTTTGGATGTGATGGCATGGGAGATTCAAAGCATGAATGTGCAGCACACCACAGTTCTTCTGAGAAAACTTTCACCTCAACCTACCTGTTGCAAATCTTGCAACACTGAACAGTTCCTCATGAAACAGAAAAATGTGAAAAATCTTGAGCTGAAGATTTTCATCCCGTGACTTGCTTTGCATCAAGATTGCCTATTTGCAATTATATTGCATATTTATATATAAAATATATATGCAATATAATCTCAGGCAAGTTACCTTTACAATGCATGACAAGCCATAGGGAATGGAAATCTTCAGCTCAAGTACTTTCACACATCTCCATGCATCATCAGGAGCTATGCAATGTTGCAAGAGCAGCAACAGGAGGAATGAGGGGACATTTTCTTAGAGAAGGGTAGCACGGTGACAATAGCCAGGTCCACTTAGATATATTGAGGAGAGGCAACATTCATTACCTAGTCATTCCGTCCCCTCACCCTCTTTCCATATAGGGTAGGGTAGAGAGGACCTCCGAGGTTTACAGAAAGCAGGAAACAGAATAAGAGGAGATTTAATAGCCATCCCTCAGCAACATCTGATACATCTAATCACCCTCACCAAGTCACATCACATAAGAGATTACGTTGCATTGTTGGATAATACACATACAAAACAATATGCAAAGCTTCTAATTAATAAAGGACCGAAGGCGCCTATTTGGCACCTTAGACTACCGTATGTCCCAGGATGTTCTAGTGTTTTCTAGGTAATGCTCAGAAGAATATCTTCATATATTCTAGATACTGCCTTCCGTTATCCTCAATATCAATTATTTAAGACCTAACATCCGGACAAGTCTTAAATTTTCCGATTATCCTTTATCATCACCTAACAGCCAAACCCTGGTGGGTTGTAATACCTTAAGCTAGTTGTGGTCACCATGTTGCAATCACTGACTGCAGTCACTTAATCTTGTGTATCTGCAATGACCAGTACCTTTGTGCAGCTGCACCTAAATGGGTTTATATTATATCGACACGTTGGGCACGTTCACAACGGATGAAATGTTCAGGATAGGTATGGAGAGTGCTGGTCTGTCACCAAATCCTCATGAGGCCTCATGGCATAATGGGATTTTAAATGGATTTTCTCGAGAAGGTCCTGTTATCAGCTAGGAAGACTTTCCACAGGAATGAACGTAAAGAAATGACTGCCACGAAAAATGTACTGGTTTTACCGTACAGTGAGAATTTGTTCAGCCTGTGTGAGGCACTAAAAAAGTTTAATATGAACATTGCCTCCACCTTCCTCCACCAATGAGAAACCGCCTCCAACGCCAGCCACCACATCCATCAAGACACGAGCAGCGTCCTCGTCTTCCAACCCCAACAAAACTGACCAATCATCGACTTCACTTGTCGCTCACTCTAAGGATAAACAACACTATAATACGATATGTGGAGTCTCCTTCTTCACTACTCCTGATAAGATAAGATAAGATTTCGTTCGGATTTTTAACCCCGGAGGATTAGCCACCCAGGATAACCCAAGAAAGTCAGTGCGTCATCGAGGACTGTCTAACTTATTTCCATTGGGGTCCTTAATCTTGTCCCCCAGGATGCGACCCACACCAGTCGACTAACACCCAGGTACCTATTTGCTGCTAGGTGAACAGGACAATAGGTGTAAGGAAACGTGTCGGAATTTCCACCCGCCGGGAATCGAACCCGGGCCCTCCGTGTGTGAAGCAGGAGCTTTAGCCACCAGACCACCGGGCCAGAGGGGAAGAGGAGGAATCAAGGCAAGTGGCCCAACCACTTTGGGACATGTGGTACTGAAGTACTGGAGGCGTAGATGGAGAGGCTTGGATGATGTCGGTACTTGGCTCACTAGGAGAGGATGGCGAAGGCAGCAGCAGGAGCTGGGAGTGTCAGAAGGCAGCAAGCAGGATGAGTTGTATTGGTGGAGGTCGGCTTGAGGTGTGTTAAGCTATTGTCCCATTAGAAAGAGTCTGGAACTTCGGTATTGGCATGGTCATGAGTCTAAATTTGCGGTCTGGGTCAATCTCTGGAGCATTAAGGAGATTGATGACTTCTCTAAGGAAGAGAACACGTGATGGTCTACAGACGAACTTGACTTCGTCGCTCTGGAGGAAGGGGATCAATGTCTTTGAATCCATTTCTTTAGGCCCGGTGGCCCGGTGGCCTGGTGGCTAAAGCTCCCGCTTCACACACGGAGGGCCCGGGTTCGATTCCCGGCGGGTGGAAACATTTCGACACGTTTCCTTACACCTGTTGTCCTGTTCACCTAGCAGCAAATAGGTACCTGGGTGTTAGTCGACTGGTGTGGGTCGCATCCTGGGGGACAAGATTAAGGACCCCAATGGAAATAAGTTAGACAGTCCTCGATGACGCACTGACTTTCTTGGGTTATCCTGGGTGGCTAACCCTCCGGGGTTAAAAATCCGAACGAAATCTTATCTTATCTTATCTTATCTTTCCAGTATTTCCATCCTTCCTTATCCTTCTTCCTTCCCATCTCATGACAGTTCTCGTCGTCTTCTTCGATTCGATTTGATTCATTACCTTCAAAAAGTGGGACAGTGAAACAGGTTAATTAAAAACACACCATCTAATAGTGTTGGTGTTTAAGTCCCATGCACTCTTTGCCCTGTTTCATTTACTGAGCAAACTGGTCAACTTCTGGAAACCAGATTAACCCATCAGTACTCAATCAGAATGGGCCAGGAGTTGAATGCTATCTTCAACCACGTCAGTTCTTGCCATCACCCACCGGCATGGACTGCTGCCCAGATCACTGTACTCATCAGTTAGATCATAGAAAGAAACATAACTGAATCCTCACTCTTCAAACATGATAGGAATGACTTGTATAATTCAAGTTATGGGTTGTATAAACTTGATAAATATTTAGTGGAGTCTATTGTGCACAACCTTAAGTAACAGTACTATGCAAAATTGCATGATTGTTCATTATGCCATGGGGCCTCATGAGGATCTGGCAACATTAGACTAGTGCTCTCCACACATATCCTGCACATTTTGATTGCCGTAAACATGCCCTGCCCATCGATATACACCCATTTAGCTAAAGCTACATAAAGGTACAGTTTGGTTACAGGTACACAAGGTTAGGTGACTGCAACCATGAATTGTAACTTGGTAAGGGAATTACAACCCAGCAGAGTTAGGCTGTTAGGGGGTTGTTAAGGATAATTGGAAAATTCATGAATTGTCTGGATATTAGGTCATAAATAATTGATACTGAGAATAACAAAAGACAGTATCTAGAATATATGAAGAGAATCTCCAGAGCATTACTAGAACATTCTAGAACCTTTCAGGATGTATGTTAGTTTAAGGTGACAAATGGCTGCATTTGACCGGTAATTAAAAAGTTTATAAACATTGTTTTGTGTGTGCTCTCCACTAGTGCAATGTAATCTATGTGACATGACCTGATGATGATGATAATTAGATGTATCAGATGTTGCTGAGGGCTGGCTATAAAATCTATTATTCTGTTTTCTGCTTTCTGTAACCCTCAGAGGCCCTCTCTATTATACTCCATATGGGAAGGGGGTGACGGGACAGGATGCCTGGGTAACAAATATTGCCTCTCCTCAATATATCTGAGTGGAGCTGGCTGATGTCACCATGCTACTCTACTCTGAGAAAATGTTCCCTCATTCCTCCTGCTGCTGCTCTTGCAACATTGCATAACTCCTGATGATGAATGGAGATGTGTGAAAGTACTTGAACTGAAGATTTCCATCCCCCGTTATTTGTCTTGATAAAGTATATATATATATATATTATATATATATATATATATATATATATATATATATTTATATATAATATATATATATATATATATATATATACAGTAGACCCTCATATTACACAGTAGTTACGTTCCTGAAAATGCCTTGTTAGAAAAATCTGTGTTATATAAATTGAAGAACTTATGGGAAAAATAGGGTTGCATTCCTGGGGCCCCCAAAAGCCAAACAAC